AATAATAAATGGATTATATTTTTAATGATTTCATCTAATTGAAAACAAATAAAATGTCAAATTGGTATGATATAAATGATATAATAAATAAATATCTACAAACATTATCTCACATATACGTAAAATTTTAAACTATCCTTGACAAATATGATATATAAGTTTTGGATAACCGGTTGAAATAAAAAAAATTGGTAGTTATATTTAATTCTTAAAATCTCAAAATATTGAACAAAATTCAACTTTGGGACGTAAAAATCTCTACTTTTGGACGATTATATGAAATTTTACATATATTAAAATTATATTTAGTTACATGTAAATGGTGTTATTTATTAAAAAATATATAAAATTATACGAATGGATACGAGACGAGAACATATAATTCGAAACAAACATTATATGAATTATTTCACATAAAAAATAAAACATGATTAGATATAATTGTTATGAGACACGGTCATAAAGTTAAATTCACTTTCAACTTTCAAATATAAAACTACGAGTACGATACGGGGACATGTAATTTAAATTGCTAAATTTAATTTCCACTTTCCTATTTATTTCAAATATTTAGACATGAAATGACATGTATAAGAAGATAACGTATACTTCGGATAACAAAACTACGATAAATCCATGTATTAAAAAAAATAAAAATACCTAAATCTTTAGAAAACAAAAAGGCTAAAACATGAATCTTTGAATTGAAGAAAGTAACGAGAAATAAAGATGAAACTGAAAGATCAATAAAATTAAAAATCGAACAAGGATTGTGTATGCTAGGATTTCAGATAGTGCATTGTGAATGAAAATGGTGGGAGCATGTGACTTAGATTGATAATTAGATTTTTATTAGTTTGATAAAAATAAATATTTAAACGAGGAATATGGGTATCCCGTCTAAATCTTTTACCAAGTTTCTTATAACAAACATTGGCAAATGATTATGTTTTAAAAAGAAACGATTATGGAACAGAAATTTTATGACAGATAGAAGACGGGACGGGACGGGGCGAGGTGGGACGGGGCGGGGTGGGACGGGACGGGTCAGGACGAGACGGAAAGAAACAGGACGGGTTTCTATTCTAAACTACACATAAAACAATTCAAACTAAAGCCAAACCCAAATCCGATTGAACATCTATAAGCAAACAGTTAGAAATGTTTTGATTAGTTTAAAAAATAAACACGTAATATCACTTATCATTTTCATTTAAATAATTTTAAAATTGTAATTTTAAAATTTTATCATGTAATACAATATCTGTATTTTACAACTGTATATCTATATATTGTTTATCAAATAAACTCATATAACAAAATTTTACCAAAATATCATCTACTTAAAAAATCGTAATTTTGTAAAAATAACTCCGCACGTACGTGCGGGTCCATCACTAGTATATATATAAACATGTAATTAACATCGATTAGGCCTTGGTTTAGCCTGGTATTAAATTCTTAATTCTATGACATTGCCACATTGGTGCTTCATCTCCAGTAATGAACTAACCAATGAAGCAACCCTTTCACCTAACCATATAGTATTTATCTCTGAATCTAGACCAATCTGCAAAGTGTGGCAAATATTATTGTGTAAAATTTTTATCTCCATTTTTCATTTCCTTGAGTTTAACATGCTACATACTTCCAAGGACTATACACATACACACTGGATTCGATAAACATTAGCACTAACCAAACAATACAATACACAAGTAAAGATGCCAAGATCTTTACAAGAACTCATAAACACTCAAATCATACATTAAACAGATGACCTTAATACATAGTCTCCCTCGATCGGTTTTTATTAAATCTGATCACCATTGAAACAAAGTCGAGATCTAGAACATACTCAAACACACAAGGTCATCATCACTTACGTAGAACATCTTTGAAATCATCTCTTCCTCCCTTATGTGGATTCTTCTTCTTTTCCATGATTTCTTTAAACGTCTCTATGAATGTCTTCATATACAATCTTTTCCATTCCTAATTCAATCCCAAAAACACACAAAACGAGTCAAAACCAAACGTTACCATTTCTCATTCATTGTATAAAAATGTTCACAAATAGTCAAACCTCGAAATCCCAATCTCCACCAATATCAGGATCAATCTTGTTGATCCATGGATATGTATCCACTGTCATCTTCTCTGAATTGTCCTACATATATATGCAAATGTTACAATTCATAAATCCTCATCAAGACACACTATGAATGTTTTAGAGATTCAAAATGATCAAATCTTTACCTTCCTTACAACTTCAACAGTCACTCTTTCATATTCGGTTCCTTCAACCCAATCAAGATTCTCAAGTTCACCATCCGTTAATCCCACTAGTACCTATAAAGAACTCACCAATAAATATCAAGATCAATACACAACAACAACACCCACAAGAATATTAAAGAATCTGAATTTTTGACAAAACCAAGAAATCAAACCTTTCCATGAACTTCTCCATTCTCACGAGGTACAATACATGGATACAATCTCCCTTTAAGCCTAAACCTCTGACTGTCAAAAACCCAACATGGCTGGCCATTAGATCTTAGATCGATACAGATAGATCAAGATCAAGATCAAGATCAAGATCTAGAGAAGAGAGGTGAACGTACTAGCCATGGAGTGTTGCAGAGACGATTTCAGGAGTACGATCAAGCATGACGTGGAGTACATCAGGTTCTTGAAAGCTACCATAGACGAAAACATTGTGAAGCTTAGGAGAATCTGAGCTACTCATTTTTCTTCTCTGTTTCTTTTTTTTTTTTTCTTTATTTTTGGTTTGAGGATAGTGTTGTTACTTCTCTATCAGAGCTTTTGACTTTATAATAAGAATATAATACACGTTTCGTAACCGATGAAACACGTGGAATGATTCTCGTACCACATATGATAAATTTTGTTGTCCAATAATTTGTATCTGCATTCGCACAAAATAATATAATTTGTTTTTTCCTTTAATTCCTCAAAATACTATATTTTCAAATTTTATTGTTAAAACACTAGTATTAGTTTAATGTTCCAACAATATGATTAAAATTTTGAGTTTCCAAAAATAGTATAAAATATACAAATTGATTTTTAAGAGTTTAGCATTTAGATTTTTGGATTTGAGTTAACTATTTTAGATTTAAACTATATACTGGTATAGTTTTGTTTTGTGATATTTTTTGCGAAGTTGTTAATGGTATTTCTATCTTTTGTTTTAAAAATAATTCTCAACTCTAACATGTCTGCTTTAACATATGTTATGATATATTAATACCTACCAGATTAAAAAATAATATGATAATTATTATGTGATTCAATTATTGTATATAAATATATATGTATATTTTAAAACTGGTGGTACATTCATTAATATTCTTACTCATTTAAATCATTTTTGATCAACATATTTATATTTTCATAAAATAAAAATAGGAAACAAAAGTACAATAAATAAAGAGACCAACACGACTAGAATACTTTTTTTATTTTATCAAAGAATACTTTTCAAACCCACTCAGCCAATTGACAATAGTTTTGATTCCAATTTTTTTAGTGGGGTTTTGAGTGAGGTTAAATAATTCGCTTGTTTTTAATTAAATATATTAAAATTTTGATATTAAAGTTGTTTTAAAATGGAAGATAAACACTATTATAGATTGTGAATAATTATTTTTTGAAATTAGTTTTTAAAATATTAAATTTCTAGAGATAAATGAAAGTTAATTTTGTCTTATTAGATTCAAAGCTATAAATATAGAATCTTGGTCACAACTTTAGAAGTTATAACTCAGATTTGTTAGGCTAAACATATACACATGATAGTTTTGATAATACATATATTTTTTGTATTGTTATAATGAATCGTGTTTAGTTGTTTACTGTAATGTGTTTTGGATTGTTTTTACATGTTGAAATGCTATTGATTTCAAGATGTATATTTCAAATGATTCTGATTTTACTACAAATCAATATTGTACCTAACATCAACTATTTAGAAAAAACTATATATGTACCTAACATCAACTATTTAGAAAAAACTATATATTCAATAAAACTAAACAAATATATATATATATATATATATATATATATATA